TGTCTTCCAAATTTCTTGATATAGATGAGTGATCGCCTCCAGCACACATCCATTTGTTGAAACATCTCAATGGGTATTCCGCCAATTCCTGAAGCCTTATTTTTCATGGATGCCTTCAGTGCAGCTTGGACTTCATCCTTCAATACCATCGGTTCTTGATCTTACGCCACCTTCTGAAACGGTTATAAATCCCATCTGCTTAAACTGAGTAATTTCTGATGCCTGCAGTTTATAGATACAGCTATTACAGTAAAACCCCGTGAAAGGCGGGATCCATGTAAGGCACAAAGGTGTCAGGAAAAGAAAACGCAAATATTTCCATTAGGACAAGCAATATTAGTGTTAAGACGGCACAGTGTTAGAGGCGGAAAACTTGCAGTCCAGGTGATGATCCGGTTCTCACAGGTTTCACTGCTAATTATTTACTTAGTCAACAAATATTCACTTGCCCTCAGGGCACTGGGGAGCCAAGGCAAGTTCTGAGCAGTGGAGGGGCAGGTCGGTTAAGGGGTGGGTGGGGAGGAGGTTGTGGGAGAGGAAAAGAACAGAGGCACGAGCCACGTGGGCAGTGGAGAGGAGGAGGAGGGACAGACAGGCCTTGGACACCGGGTCTGGGTGGCCGGGATGAAGATATATGACCGAGAGCCGTCTGCTCCCGATCTCGCAACTCTAACAAGTAAAAAAGGCAGCGCTCACACTACAGGGTCCTACTGGTGCGTCTTATTGGCTCAGATCACGTCACGTGACTGAACTCTTGTTGCAAGGGCTTCTGGGAAGCCGAGTTTCTGACTTTGCTTCTCAAAGGAGGCGGTCCTAGGGCGGGGAAGTCCCCAAACCTAGACAGGGCTTCTGATGCTGTGTGCCCCACCCCCCAAAAAATGTCAAATGCTCCCACACAAGGTCATCAGGGGCTCAGGTCTCTCAGCTCACAACTCCCAGTGGCTCCCATCCCACACATAGTGGAATCAGAACGCCCCCTACAGCCCCCGCGGCCCCAGGACCCATTTTCAACCTCACCTTCTTCCTCCATCCACTCTCCCCTCTGTCCTAACCACCTGGACGCCTCACTGTCTCTCAGCCCTGTCAGCCGGCTTCCACCTCAGGGCCCTTGGACCTGCTGTCCACCCCTCCCCTCTCCCTTAAGGTCTCTCCTCAGACGTCACTTTCTCAGAGAGGCTTGCCCCAACCTCTCTTTCCAAAATGGCTGCAGCTGCGCTAGCACTCTCATCCCCCTACCCCCTTATTTTCCTTCAAAGCCCTTCTTGCCCCCGACATTACAGTATATATTTACTTGGCCATTGTCACTAAAGCATCACCTCCCTGAGGGCAGGAGTTTTATTTAGTTAGACGTGTCCCCAGTACATACACACACACTGATTCGTGGCTGACGGCTAGAGTAGAACTGTGATCCACAGGGTTTTCGATGCTGATTTTTCAGAAGACCACCAGACCTATCTGCTGAAGCATTTCTGGGTGGACTTGAACCTGCAGCCTTCCAGTTAGCAGCTGAGCACGTCAACCATTTGCACCACTCAAGGAATGTCCCCAGTAAATGTCCACTAAATAACTGTTGGAAGAATAAAAATAATAAATGCATAAAGATTCTAGGCCATTTTTTTTTAAGTTCTTTGGGCCTTGGTTAAGGAGCTCTGATGGCGCAGCGGTTAACGCATCTGGCTGGTAACCAAAAGGTCAGCGGTTAGAAACTACCAGCCTCTCTGCAGGAGAAAGATGAGGCAGTCGGCTTCTGTAAAGATTTACAGCCTTGTTAACCTTATGGAGGAGTTTAGGCTCTGCTTCTGTAAAAATCGACAGCCTTAGAAACCCTCTGGGGCAGTTCTACTCTGTCCCATAGGGTCGCTATGACTCGGAATTGACTTGATGGTAGTCGGTTGGTTGGATGGGCCTCTGTTTCCCTAACTCGGAACTTGACCTTGGTAGACAGGACCTTGCAGGGAAGGGGCAGATGGGTGGAGAGGTCAGGGGCTGGGCCCGAGGGAATGTTTTTTAAGCCTTCCATCCCCTAACCGCGGACCAGACATCTAGAAGAGGCAGGGAGCCCTAGGCCAGTTTCATCTTCCTGGGAAGAAATGAGAGAGACGCCAGAAAAAGTGGAGAGCGAACACGCTTTTCTCCCGTGCAATCCTGGGCGTTTCCTGGAGGCGGCGGCTCTGTCGATCTTGCAATCGCGGCGCCTCCCGAGAGGAGGAAGCAGTTTCCTCTCTGCAGCTCCCACCTTCTGCAGAATCTCCTCTCCGGGTCACGGGCGAGGCGCCTCGCGCTCCAGCGACTCCAGGTAGGCGCCTGCGCTCTGAACCGCGTTGCAGCCCTACTCCCTTTCCTACCTCCCAGCTCCCTTCCCGGAGGGGTGGGAGCGGCCGCCTGGGGCCCGCGGCTGCCCTTGTAAGGAGGTGAGGCGCGCGGGGACACTCGAGCCGTCCGGTTATAATTAACCCAGACACGTGGCGACCCCCCCCCCCCAACAGCTGCCCCCCACGCTCCCCCATTCCATCGCCTCGGGGGCTCGGCCTTCGCAGAGGAGCCCTGGAGGCGAGTCCTAAAAATAACTCCCTTCCGGGCGGGCCGAGTGCCTCCCTGTCCCGTTGGCCGCCTGTTAATGACGGAAATCTAGGGTGGGGGCAGTGAGGAGGGCGACCTCTGCCTCCGACCCCAACCCTGAGTTTGAATCTCCCCTACTCCGTGGGCCTCAGCTTCCCCGCTACTCCGACGCACCCGAGGACCGTGCATCTAAGCGCAGGCCTCGGGGATCAGAGCGCCCTGGGTTCTAATCCCCGCTTTGGTCTCACGCCCCCTAGTTGAGTGGCAGCCTCTCAGAACCTCGGTTTCATTCTCTGCAAAACTATGCCCGGCCCTCCTGGGGTCTTTTGTATGCAGGTTTTTGCAGCTGCTGGAGGCTCAGGTTTTAAGCAGCTAGTGAGGGGCTGACGGGTTTGGGGGCTGCAGAGAGGCCAGGGTAGAGGAAGGACTTGGCCCAGGCCTAAGCGAGCCCAGGAATGGCCGGCCCAGGGCCAACGGAGGGAGGGTTCTATGTCTCCGGTCGCCATCCCATGTCCTCGGTCGGGGGGCCGGCTGTCAATGCCAGCTCGACTCAGCACTTGTGAAGAGCTTCAGCTGGCGGGAGGGGGTGGGAGGGCTGGGGCGGCCCATACAAGGGTGCAAGGCATGCCTGGGTTCGGAGTGGGCACGGCGCCCAGGCAGGGAGCTGGGAGTTCATCTGCCCTCCAGTCCCCTTCCGCAGGGCAGCCCCTCCCAGCCAATAGCACGGCCTGGACCCCCCCTATATAAGGCCAGGGCTGCAGGCTCTGTCTTTGGGTTAGTGTCGTCGCGGAGGATAGACAAGCCCCTTCAGCACAGCGCAGCCAGGTACCCCCTGTGGTGGCCGTCAGGATGGGGTTGAGAGTGGGGGGTGCCCGCGGGCTCTAGTGGTTGGAGCAAGTCTGGGAAGGGCTTCTTGTATCCACCTCCCCCTGTCCTGCTCACAAAGTGGTCAGAGTGTGGGCAGTGACCTTTTGTGTTTGGATGATGTCCCCTCCACCTGGGACCCCACCTCCTCCCCTGTTGTGACTTCTGTCTCTGTGGCATAGGTTTTGGGGGGTGGGATCCCAGAGAAGAAAGGGGTTTTGACACCTGCCAACTGTCACCCCCTGCAAGCGGTTGTAAGGCCAGCCCTGTGTTCATTAGGGTTTGTCACCAGGTCTGGGTGCCGCAAGCGATGTGGGGTGTCTCTGTGTCCCCTGTTGTGGTCTTGAAGAGCAGGTCTGCATTGGCAGCCCTGTGGTTCCTACGGTGTCCCTGTGACCTTGTATCTGTCTTTCCCTGGACCTTGCCGGAGCACCACCTGTATCCCGTGTGTGTCCTGTGTCTAGAGGTGTGACCGTGTGACTGTTTATGGTATGGCTTGGGGTGTCTATAATGAGTGGCTGTCCTTGGCCGTGATGTTGTGTGTGTGGCCCCAAGGCCGTTTCTACTTGTGTCTCTTGGGGTCACCCACCTGGCTTCCATACCCTGCCCCAGGGTCCCTGGCAGGGATGGGGTAGGGACACCCTTTGAAGGGGAGGGACTCTGGGCTGGGAGCCCGGAATGTCCTTGAGCGCCGCCAATGCCTGGTTGCGTGTCCTCTCGGCCACCCTGGCCCCACCTGTCTCTGGCTTGATGACTTGGTGCAAACTGAGCCCCTGGAATGTGGAGGGTGGGGGGGCAGCAGCTGGCAGGGAGAGGAACCTGCCAGACTCTAAAAATAACCCCCACCCTGGGCAGCGACTCCAGGGGTCTTTTGCAGGTCCTCATCCCCACTCTCGGGCCTGGCGCCTCGACCCTCACCTCTCCCCGGGTCATTCTTACAGTCCCACTTGCTCCCTGTGCCTGGAGCTGGGCATGTGTGACCCAGCCCTGCCTCTGCTGCTGGAAGAGCCCTCTTTCTTTCTGGGCTCGGGACTAAAAGTAATAATGAACAATAATAGGAGCTCTGGTAGCATAGTGGCTAAGTCACTTGCCTGCTAACCAGACGGCTGGCGGTTCAAACCCACCAGCCACTCCTCGGAAGGAAGGTTGGGCAATCCTACTTTCGTAGTGATACTGCCTCGAAAACCCAAGGAGGGGTCGCTATGAGTCGGGGCGACTCGACGGCACATAACAACAACAACAACAACAACAATAGCAGATACCCTGCTGGGCACCAGGCCTCCTCGCAGAGCCTGTGCTCAGACCATCTGCCAGGAAGGAACTGAGAATCTAGCAAACTTATAGTCCAGGGCCACCCAGCCACGTTGTGGCAGACCCAGCATCCTAACCTAAGAGTCTTGCTAAGATCAGGCACAGAGAGGGGACCCCACTTACTCCAAGTCACACAGCACAGGAATCAGGCTTTGCTCTTGGGCCTGCCTGCCTCCGGAGCCTTGCTCTGTTCCGTTGCTGGCCTCTGCTGGCCATGGGCTAATCTCCGGACCCTCTTGTGCCCACCAGGCCCATACGCCGCCACCATGCCGTTCGGAAACACCCACAACAAGTTCAAGCTGAACTATAAGCCCGAAGAGGAGTACCCGGACCTCACCAAACATAATAACCACATGGCCAAGGCGCTGACCCTCGACATCTACAAGAAGCTGAGGGACAAGGAGACGCCGTCGGGCTTCACCCTGGACGATGTCATCCAGACGGGTGTGGACAACCCCGGTAAGCCTCCGAGGCGGGGCCTCAAGACTATCAATTCCAGACACCAGTTCTACCTCCCTGGGCTCAATTTTCCCATCTGTAAGATGGGGATCCTCTTCCTTGGGCTGTTTGAGAATCCAGTGAGTTCATATGAGTGTAGGGCTTGGGATGGTACCTGGCACATGGTAAACCACCCAATAAACCTATGCTATAATGATGCAAGACCCTTAGAAAGTCATTTAATCTCTCGGAGCCTCAGTGTTGCTAGCTGAAAAATGGGTATCATGTTATGGGCCTGTGCTGAAAACGTATGAGTCAGTGTCCAGGGCTTTGAGCGGTGCCTGGCACACGGTGAGCGTTCAGAATATGCCAGTGGCTCTTATTAGTGTACAGGAGCCCAGGTGCCATGATGGTTAAGGGCTCAGCTGTTTGAACTCACCAGCTGCTGCACAGAAGAAAAGACCTGGTGATCTGCTCCCATAAAGATTACAACCTTGGAAACTCAGTGGGGCAGTTCTACTCAGTCCTCTAGGGGCACTGTGAGTTGTAATCAACTCCATGGCAGTGGGTGTGGTTTGGGCTTTGCATCTATAAAGATTGACAGCCTTGGAAACTCTGTGGTGCAATTCCACTCTGTCCTCTAGGGGCTCTGTGAGTCGAAATCAACTCCACGGCAGTGGGTGTGGTTTGGGCTTTGCATCTATATAGATTGACAGCCTTGGAAACTCTGTGGTGCAATTCCACTCTGTCCTCTAGGGGCGCTGTGAGTAGAAATCAACTCCATGGCAGTGGGTGTGGTTTGGGCTTTGCTCCCATAAAGACTGACAGCCTTGGGAACCCCGTGGTGCAGTTCCACTCTGTCCTCTAGGGGCGCTGTGAGTCAGAATTTTCAGTGGTGTGATTCTTTCTCCACACTAGAGGTCTGGGATTGGTGGTTGGAGACAAGGTTCTAGTTCCGTCTTCACCTCCAGCTCATCTCATGATTGAGGGGAGATATCCTCTTATCTCCAGGCCTCTGGTTCCCCATCTGAGAACTAAAATGGTCTTCTTTCAAATCTCATCAGCCTGACCCTTGTTGGCTCACAGTCTGAGATTAGAAAGATTTCAGCCTCCGTGATTTGGGAACTCTGAGGTGCTGATCCCTGGGAGGTGTAGACGGTTAATGTGCTTGGCTGCTAACTTAAAGTTGGGGGTTCGAGTATATCCAGGGGTGCCTGGGAAGAAACGTCTGGCAGGCTATTTTTGAAGACTCAGCCACAAAATGTCCTCCAGAGCACAGTCCTACTCTGACGCTCTGGGGGTCTCCGTGGGTCAGAGTCCACTTAACTGCAAGTTTTTTTTTTTAAGTTGGCCCCCTGAGGCTCCCTTTCTCCTTTGGCTCTGTCCCCAGCTTCACCCCCAACCCCAGATGCTTCCTTGATCCTTCTTGGCACCCCCTCACCATTCCTACCAAGCCTCAGCCTTCTCAGCCCTGTCACAGAGGCCTTGAATGACCATCCCTCTCCCCTGAAACATGTGCGTGTGCACACACACACACACACACACATTCTTGTCCACAATGGGCTCTAGAAAACCACTCAATGAATATATGCAGTTGTAATGTGAGACCCCAAGGAAGGCATTGAATCTCTCTGAACCTCAGTTTCCACATCTGAAAAGTGGGCATCATGTTTTAGGGCTGCTGTGGGAATATACGAGTTGGTGAGTGTGGTGGGCTTTGAGCAGCGCTAAGGGAGCATCCGGCCTTCTTTGCTGGGGGCACACCTCTCTGACCTCACCCTGACCCCCCAGGTCACCCCTTCATCATGACTGTGGGCTGTGTAGCCGGCGATGAGGAGTCCTACCACGTTTTCAAGGACCTCTTCGACCCCATCATCCACGACCGGCACGGGGGCTACAAACCCACAGACAAGCACAAGACGGACCTCAACCATGAGAACCTCAAGGTTAGCTGCCCCTGGGGATGGGAGGGGATGGGGAGAGAGGTTAGAGGGGGTATGGAGAGAGGACAGAGTCAGGGAGGGACCCCCAGGGGGACAGAGTCGGGGAGGGACACCCAGAGACAGGGAAAAACACCCAGAGAGACACAGAGATGGAGAGACACCCAGAGAGACACAGAGACAGGAAGGGACACAGAGATTGACAGAGACAGGGAGAGACACCCAGACCAACAGAGATGGAGAGAGACACAGAGACCATCAGATCATCAGTCATGGAGAGATACCCAGAGAGACACAGAGACTGACAGAGATGGGGAGAGACACTTAAACACTGAGACGGACGAGGATGGGGAGAGATGCAGGGATGGAGAGAGACCAGAGATGGGAGGAGAGATGCAGGCGCAGTCAGAGGGAGAGACGGAGAGTGGGAGACGGAGAGAGACCCAGGTGGGGGCGCTTTGGAGAGGAAGGGGTCCCCAGCGGTGCAGTGGTTAGCACGGTCAACTACTAACCACAAGTTTGGAGGTTCCAGGCCAGCCAGGTGCCCCAGAAGGAAGGCCTGTCTATTTCCAAACATCAGCCATTGAAAGCCCTCTGACATACGCGGGGTCACCACGAGTTGGGGTCACAGCCCTACCCTGACGTACATGGGGCCACCACGAGTTGGTGTCAACTCAACAGCAAGTTGGTTTTGTTTTGTTTTGAAGTGGAGAAAGAAAACAGATAGATGAGATGGGAGAGAGACAGGGATGGGGGAGTGAGAGAAGGGAGAGAGGGAGCCAGGGAGGGCAGGGGGTGTGTGCAGCCGAAAGCCAGAGCCGAGAGATAAAGGGAGGGTCTAGGGGAAGCAGGGCGTGCTGAGTCACGGGGCGGGGGAAGGGGGCGCCCCTACCTGGAGGCCTATCCTTGACCCCCCTCCCTCTGCAGGGTGGAGACGACCTGGACCCGCACTATGTGCTCAGCAGCCGAGTGCGCACGGGACGCAGCATCAAGGGCTACACGCTGCCCCCCCACTGCTCCCGTGGCGAGCGCAGGGCCGTGGAGAAGCTCTCCGTGGAAGGTGAGAGCCAGCGCTCACCCAGCTTTGACTTTGCTCCTCTGTGGGCCCCTAGTCTTCAAAACATGGGAGGAGCTTGGTCAGCCCTGGGGGGCGGGGCTTGGTGAGCAAGGGCTGTCGGCATCATACCTGTTGGAGGTTGGGGGTAAAGGGGTATCAAGCCTTGAGGGGCCCTTAGAAGACACACAAGACCAGCTATCCCAGAACCCTGTCATTCATCCATTCATTCATTCATCCAGCCTGCCAGCAAACATTTGTGGTTATTCTGACCCTGTGTGGGGGGCTGGGGGCTACCCTGATGAATAAGATGGCCAAGGCCACTGCTCTCAACGGACTCTAGGCCTGGTGCGGGGAGGACGAGAGGAAACACGGAAATCAATAAGCAAACAAGATTAAAAGACCAAAGTGCCAAAGAGACCGGGGGGTGTGGCAGAGAATGACTGGGGTGGGGTGTGGGGGGAGTTTGATTGACAAGAAGGAGCCCCCTTTGGGAAGAGTTCCAGGCAGGTGGAACAGCAGATGCAAAGACCCTGGGAGTGGGAATGTAGGATGGAGAAGTCACAAGGACACTAGTGTGGCTGGAGCAGACTGGAGAGAGGGACAGGGTGGCAGATGAGAGCAGAGACAACTGGTGACCTGTTTGTGGGGCCCTGTGGGCCTTGGCGTTGACTCTGAGTTAGGGGAAGCCACATGAGCGGGGAGGGCAGACGGGGGCCTGGTTTAGATGATGTGGATTCTTCTGGCTGTTGGGTGGGTACAGACTGTGAGGCAGAAGCAGGGGCACAAGACCAATGAGGAGGTCACTGCAGTGGCCCCCAGAAGGGATGGGGGACAGGCAACAGGAGGGGGAGAAACTGTGGGTGTGTTTTCTGGACGGAGAGCTTTTAGGGTTTGTAGACAATAGCATACCCGTGAGTATTTAACACCTGGCTCGCTCTCTAAAAAAAAAAAGCCCTGATATGTAGTAAGGTTGGTGGTTCGAATCCACCAGCTGCTCAGCAGGAAGAAGATAAGATGATCTACTTTCGTAAAGATTTGCAGCCTTGGAAACCAATGGGGGTCTCTATGAGTCAGAATCGACTCAATGGCAGTGGGTTTTTGCTTTTGGTGGTATAAGTTCAACTATGACCAATTTTAAACTAATGATATTGTTCTGGTTACCTAGTGCTGCTCTGACAAGAATACACTGCAAATGGGATGGCCTTAACAAACAGGAGTTTATTTTCTTACAGTTCAGGAGGCTAGACGTCCTGAGTTCCAAGTGCCAGGCTCTAGGGGCTGTGTGAAAGCCCCTCAACCTTGGGCTTCAGCTCTGCCTGTTGCTCCCGGCCCACTGAAGCTAGAGGCAGCTCTTCACTCAGGCAGCTACTGGCTGCTGAGGCTGACAAGCCCAAGGTCGACAAGTGAAAAGGCACAGTCCTTATGTTACCCAACCACACAGCAGACCATTAATTCAAGTCCATTGTAAGTGCCAAGGTTGGCAGAGAGCATGGCAGGCTGCTGAACAATGACACGGCTACATGCAGGCTCCAAGCATGCCATAAGCTAGAGACCGTTCCCCAAGGCTTCTGCTTATATACAGGAAGCAGACCACATCCCTAAGGCAGCTACTCAGCTGCTCACAGTAGATCCCACCATGGAGTTGATTGCCAGTCTCATCATGGGGAATAACTACCACCAGCTGCCCAGCCACTCAACCAGGCCCAGCCAAGTTGACACACAAACTGAACTACCACAGACATGATGTCATGCAGGGCTGGGAAGAGACAGGAAGTCCTAGTTATATCATTATCTGGTATTCCCACCATACAGACCAAAACCCAAACTCATTGCCATTGACTATTCTGACTCAGAGCGACCCCTCCTTGGATTTCCAAGGCTATGAATCTTAACAAAAGTAGATCGCTCATCTTCCTTCTGCAGAGGGCTGGTAGGTTTGAACCGTCAACCTCCTGATTAGCAGTCAAATGCCTTCCACAGCGTAGAGAGACAGAGATAACTTCACAAACATAGATAACAGTAAATGCAAGTAGCAGGTTATAGTTTTGAGTATTTATGACCTTTGCTTTTTAACACAATTTATTTCATTGTAAGTTTCCATAATTTAATTGTGATAATATAACAAGAATATATGTTGTTGTTGTTGTTGTTATGTGCCATCGAGTCAGACCTGACTCATAGCGACCCCTCCTTGGGTTTCAGAGGCAGTATCACTACGGAAGTAGATTGCCCCATCTTCCTTCCGAGAAGTGGCTGGAACAAGAATATATATCTGATATAATGCGTTATACATCATAGAAATATAATATGCAATATATAAATATTTAATATATAAATCCATCACGATAGAAATATCCATATACATAAATATAAATACTACATGCATCTATTTATCATACATATAAAGATATAAAGATAATTTATATAATAATATATTTTACTAATGGCTCCCAACATTCCTGAAACTGTAACCATCTCTCTTAGGAGCCGGTGTGGGAGCTGGGCCCAACACTCTTTTTGCAGGTGGATTGGATATGAGGGTTGGTTGTGGGAAGGGGAGAAGCCCCGTTTTCTGGTTTGAGCACATGGTTTGGCTGATCTGGGACCCAGGCAGATGGAGGAGGAAAACATTTTGGGGAGAAGTCATGAGTTTGGCTTTGGACATAGGGGTTTAGGTGCTGTCCACAGGGCCCAGGCTCATTAGGGGTGGCAGGGAGGGGGTGCTGGATCTCTGTACCCCACGGAGGCGGGGCAGGCTACCGACCACCCCTTTGTCTGGCCCTTCAGCCCTCAACAGCCTGACGGGTGAGTTCAAGGGCAAATACTACCCGCTGAAGAGCATGACTGAACAGGAGCAGCAGCAGCTCATCGACGACCACTTCCTGTTCGACAAGCCCGTGTCCCCGTTGCTGCTGGCCTCAGGCATGGCCCGTGACTGGCCTGACGCCCGTGGCATCTGGTAAGTCCCTTCCCACCACAAGGCCTTCCTTACCCCTCAGCCTCCTCCAGTCCCCCCCATGACCCTTCTTACCAATGCCCTCCGAAATCAAGATCACAAAAATAATTATATTTCCAAGGACCACAGCAAATCATCTGTCTCATCCTCCTCCCACCTCCCTGTGGTCTGTGTGTCATTTTTTGGGAGACTTGGACCAGAGGAGTGGCAGTTAAGACCTTGCATTTGAACCAGACTCCCTGGGTTTAAATCTGAGCCCTGTCAGTTAGGAGCTATTTGACCTTGGGCAAGTTATTTAACCTTTTTCTCTCCCGGTTGTCCTATCTGTAAAATCGGAATGTGATAACTGGTAGCTCTTAGGGTTCTTTTGAGGCTTGAATGAGTTAACTTATGTAAAGTGGCAGGCTGGCATGGAGTGAGGGCTGTGTGTTGGCTGTCAGCATGATGGATATTATTAACTGTTGCTGCTAGTTAGACTCTGAATCTTTGAATCTCTGATTCTGGTAGTCAAAGACTTAAAAATGTTTCACAAATCCAGGTTTCAGAAGTTTAGGTGTCTGGGGTTCTGAAATATAAATGATTCTCTAAGAGTTCAAGATTTTAAATATTTCTAGGTTTGAGGATTCCACTAAGAGCTCTGGTGGTGCAGTGAGTGTAACCTTAAGGCATTTGGCTGCTAACCCCAAGGTCAGAGGTTGGAACCCATCAGCTGCTATGCTGGAGAAGGATAAGGCAGGCAGTTTATGTAAAGACTGACCACCGTCGAAACCCTATGGGTCAGTACCACTATGTCCTCTAGGGGCGCTGTGGGTTGGAAGCTACTAGATGGCAGTTTGTTTTTTATTTTTCATTTATGATTCCACTAATATCAGATTCTGTGGTTCCACCCTTTAAAACATCTCCAGATCTTAATATTTTATGGGTCTAAGATTCTGTTTCTGAGATGCAAGGATTCTAAGGAGGACATTGGTGGTTCGGTGATGGAATTGTCACCCTCCATGCGTGAGATTGAGGTTCCACTGCTGGCCAAAAAACTTGATTTGAGTGTTGCTATGATGTTGAAATTGGAGCTCTGGTAGCATAGTGCCTAAGGCACTTGACTGCTAACCAGAAGGCTGGCGGTTCAAACCCACCAACCACTCCTCGGAAGGAAGATGGGGCAATCTACTTCCATAATGATACTGCCTGGGAAACCCAAGGAGGACTCACTATGAGTTGGGTCTGACTCAACGGCACATAACAACAACATGATGCTGAGCAGGTTTCAGTAAAGCTTCCAGACTAAGACGAGAATGAAAGGCCTGGCACTCTCCTGAAAATCAGCCAATGAAAGCCTACGGTCACAACAGTCTGATCTGCAGTTGATTGTAGGAATGGTGCTGGGCCTGCAGTGTTTCCTCCAGTTGTACAAGGCTCGCCATGAGTGGAGGGCGATTCTGTGGCTGCTAACAAAAATATGACAGGAAGATTCTCCCAACCTGATCCAAGGTGTAAGATTTCCAGTTCTGTTCCAAGTTTCTGCTCTATAATTTAATATCGTTCAAAGAGTTAAAATCCACTGCTGTCAAGTCGAATCCAACTCATAGCGACCCCTCCTTGGGTTTCTGAGGCGGTATCACTATGGAAGTAGATTGCCCAACCTTCCCTCCGAGGAGTGGCTGGTGGGTTTGAACCGCCAGCCTTCTGGTTAGCAGTCAAGTGCCTTAGGCACTATACCAGCAGAGCTCCCTAGAAAGACTTTAGGCCCTAAAAGCCCCTGATTCCTCAGTTAAAGGTTTCATAGATCTTATAATGTTAGGTTTTATGGGTTTAGGCTTCTGCGATTTTGTAGAAGCAGGTATCACCCCCCCTTGTACCCCTCAGGGCCACTTCCCTCTCAGGGTGGCTAAGTGTTTGGGAGAGCGGAGATCCTTTCATTCTTGCCCCACCCCTTCCTAGGCACAATGAAAACAAGACCTTCCTGGTGTGGGTGAACGAGGAGGACCATCTCCGGGTCATCTCCATGGAGAAGGGTGGGAACATGAAGGAGGTTTTCCGCCGCTTCTGCGTGGGGCTGCAGAAGGTGGGTGTCTTGCCCCTCACTGCTGACTGCTGGCTCCACTCTGAACTCACGCTTCTGCCTCACCCTGACTTAGCTCTGACCTACTTTTCTGGTCCTCTGATCCCTGACCCCAAATTCCTGGTCTTCATGAGCCTCCATCCTCTGCCCTGACCCTCATTCTGCTGTCCCTCATCACCCTCCGTTGCTTTCTGACCACTAGGAGCTGGCTCCCCGCGTGGGCTCACAACGCCAGAGGATTTATGCTGTGGGACCGGGTTTCCACTCAAGTCCTTGAGCCCCACATCTCAGAGCCCGCCTCCACCAGTTCTTGCGCCCCGCCCCTAGGAACCACCCCCACCACCTTCTCACGCCCCGCCCCCTCAGAACTTGCCCCACCACATGCTCACGTCCCGCCCCTCGGAACCGCCCCCACCACCTGGTCACGCCCCGCCCCATCAGAACCTGCCTCACCACCTGCTCACGCCCCGCCCCTCGGAGCTGCCCCTACCGCCTGCTCACGCCGGGTCCCATGAGAACCTGCCCCACCTCCGCATGCCCCGCCCCTCAGAACCGCCTCCACTTTCCTGCTCACGCCCCGCTCCTCGGGACCGCCCCCACCACCTGCTCACGCCCCGCCCCTTGAGAAACTGCCCACCGCCTTCTCATGCCTCGCCCCAGAACCGCCCCCACTTTCCTGCTCACGACCCCCCCTCGGAAACGCCCCCACCGCCCTCTCATGCCCTGCCCCTCAGAATCTTGCCCACTTCCGGCTCACGCCCCGCCCCTGGGAAACGCCCCCACCGCCTGCTCACGGCCCGCCCCATCAGAACCTTGCCCACTGCCTGCTCAGGCCCCGCTCCTCGGGACCGCCCCCAACGTCTGCTCGCGCCCGGCCCCTGGAGCCCGCCTCCTCTCACATTCCCAGCTGCACCTCAGAACCTGGCTTCCACCCTCCATCATTCTCAAGTTCTCCCATCAGAACGCATCTTCCTCCGTATTCTCACGCCCCACCCTCAGAGCCCGCCTCTCACGCGTCTCTTGCCCAGCGGGTCATTATCTTGTCTCTGTCTCTGAGGTCTAGGCCGCCGCCTCAAACTCTCATCCCTCTCAGTTCTCCAGCCCCGCCCTACGCCTCATCCCTCCGGGCCCGACCCGGTATGTGGGGCGCCCTCTGGCGCTAAGCCCTGTTCTCTTCCTTTACTCCTTCAGATCGAGGAGATCTTCAAGAAAGCCGGCCACCCGTTCATGTGGAACGAGCACTTGGGCTACGTGCTCACCTGCCCGTCCAATCTGGGCACCGGGCTGCGTGGAGGCGTGCACGTGAAGCTGGCGCACCTGAGCAAGCACCCCAAATTTGAGGAGATCCTCACCCGCCTGCGCCTGCAGAAGCGAGGCACAGGTATGTGGCTCCCGCAACCTCGGGTCACCGCATCTCGGGCGGACGCTGTCAGTGTGATATCGTTATGATATAATATGCATTGCGTGGATCTCCGGTATCCAGTGCCTCAGTTTCCCCATCTGTAAAGGTGGAGATGATCAGGATTCGGCCTCAGGCAGCCCAGCTGCAGAACCAGGCTTACCCCATATATGTTCATGTTGCATGGTTGAGGGGTGAGCTACCTAAGTGCGTGAATAAACAGGCATTCTGGAATTGCGCATACGCCAACAGTAGGCGATCAATATATGAGGCTGTTGCTTCTTCACCTCCAGTCCGTCCTCACGCCTCTGTCCGCCGCTCCTGCAGGTGGCGTGGACACCGCCGCCGTGGGCTCAGTGTTCGACGTGTCCAACGCCGATCGGCTGGGCTCGTCGGAAGTAGAACAGGTGCAGCTGGTGGTGGACGGTGTGAAGCTCATGGTGGAGATGGAGAAGAAGCTGGAGAAGGGTGGATCCATCGATGACATGATCCCCGCCCAGAAGTAGGCATCCAGCTTGCCCGCCGCCCACAGGGGAGCCCCAGCGAATGGGAGGACCCAGCCCACCGGAGGCCCGCCCACAATCTTTCCACCAACTGGGGCCTCGGAGTTCCAATCCCAACCAGAGTTCCAACCAATGAGCTATAGCCTCTAGGCTCGGGCCACCACTAGCTCTGACTAATGGGAAGTCCTCTAGTACTTCTGGAGCTTGGGCTTTTTCTCTGCCCAAAGTAATAAAAGCAATGGCGGCCTTATCTTTGTGTAAGATGGCTGTAGAGGGCGAAGGGACTTTGGCAGAGATGCTGTGTGATTTCTAAGTGCTTAATCTTCTCCAGGCACATACTCCAAAACCCAAAACCAAATGCATTGTCATCTGTCTATTGGATTCCGACACATAGGGACCAACGTTGGGTTTCTGAGGTGGTAAATCTTTATGGAAGTAGACTGCCTCATCTTTCCATGGAGCGGTTGGTGGATTTGAACCTCCAGTCTTCTGGTTAGCAGTCAAATGCCTTAGGCATTGAGCCCCTAGAGCTTCTTAAAGTGAAGGGGCCCAAAATTACACCGCTTTATGGGGGATCTGAGGCCCAGAGAGGTGTTATGATTTGCCCAGTGTCACACAGCCTAGCTTGGGCTTTTCCTACCATTCACTCCCAATCAGTCACACTCACATCTCACATGGGAGAAAAGCAGGCTGGTCTGTGTGAACCGAAAGCCCCCAACACTCAAATTTAGAATTGAAATGGGCTAGCTACACCAAATGCCTGAGGCTTGACTCACAGGCATTCACTTCGAGACCTCCTGTACATCTCATCATAGCCATCTCCTTTATGTGGTGTTTCTCCCCTCTCTTGTCTAAGGTCGGGAACTTATCGAGTTGCTGCTCCCTCTGTCTGGTCTGACTTCATCCTTCTATAGCTTCTTTTCTATTGAACTTCACTTACATCACTCAAGAGTCCACTATGGCTCCCTGTCCCTGTTACCTAGTGCCTCTCTGACAGGAATGTACCACCAATGGGATGACTTGAAGAAACGAGGTCATTCTCTTACAGTGTGGAGGCTTTAAGTCTGAGTTCAAAGTTCCAGGCTCTAGGGGTTGGGTGAAAGCCCTTCAATTTTGGACTTCAGCTCTGCCTCCTGCTCCCAGCCCACTGAAGCTGGAGGCTTTTCCTCATGCAGATAGCTGCTGGCTGCTGAGGCTGACAAGTCCAAGGTCAACAAGTAATAAGGCACAGTCCGATGTTACCAAACCACATGGCAGGCCATTAATTCAAGTCCATTAAGAGCCCTAAGATCAGCTGAGCATGGCAGGCTGCTGAACAACGACTTGGCTACATGCAGGATTCAAGCGTACCATAGGCTAGAGACGGTTCCCCGAGGCTTCTCATACACAGGAAGCAGACCGCATCCCTAAGGCAGCTACTCAGCTGCTTACAGTAGATTCCACCATGGAGTTGACTACCAGTCTCCTCATGGGGAATACTACATCCAGCTGCCCAGCCACTCAACCAGGCCAAGCCAAGTTGACACACAAACTGAACTATCACACTCCCAAAAGCTCTTGTTGTTGTTGTTGTTGTTGTTAAGTGCCGTCGAGTTGTTTCCGACTCATAGCGACCCCATGCACAACAGAACGAAACACTGCCCGATCCCGCGCCAGCCCCACAATCCCTGCTATACTTGAGTCCATCATCGCAGCCACCGTATCAATCCATCTCGTTGAAGGCCTCCCCCTCTTTTGTCTACCCTCCACCCTACCAAGCATGACATCCTTCTCCA